GTGTGTCGCAGGATACCCTCTAGGTGATAGTTCTTGATTACTTTTTGATAAGTAATTCGTTCTTATTGCGAAATAGGAGCACTATTTATCAATCTATTTTTTAAGATTTTTTGAGGCAAAATACCCAAAAAGAAGTTTGTAAAAAAACGATTTTTTTTGCAACTCTTGATTTAAAAAAATGAGGAAAAACGATGAAATTAAAATCTGTTATTCTCTATGTGACCTCCATTTAAGCCCATATATTTCCTATATTCAGTTTACTGCGTCCACTATTCTAAGGCGTAAATCATCAAAAGTTGTAACTGGATTTTCAAGCACAATATTATTTACATAGTTCAGAAAATTATCAAGAGGTATTAAGTCTGGGCTATTGGAGGGCCACGGAAAAAAAAACAAATCATCAATTCCAGATGTAAAATTTTCATAAAAAAGTACTACCGGGCACACGTTGTGGGGTGGAAAAGGTTTCATTTTAACAGCAGACTTTAAAACCTGAGTTATAATGAACAACTTCAGTGTTTACCACATTTCACAACTTTTCGAAACGAATGATCCAAAAGAGGTGTCAACTTATGAGGAAGCATCCTGTACCAAAATTTCCTTCAGTAGTAAGAAAGTGCTGACAGCCTTTAGGCCAATTTCTCCATGATTTTCAGGCAAATTGTCAATGTTGCTGAGCCAAAAGCGATCTAAAAAAATATCACAATTTTTTAAGTCCTTCTGTTTGGTTCGCACCGAGACAACAACAGGCGGGAATGGCCTATGTGATCCGCAACAGTTTCAAAAAGTACAACATTAAATTCAAGTAACTGCAAAAGATGCTCAGGCGCTGAGCGCTGCTGCTCGAGTCCTTGGAGGCCTCCAGGTTGCCTCGCGTCACTTCCTCCTGACACCGCCCGATCGAGTCAATGTCTATGCTACTCATCGGCAACCCGTTCACCTCCAAAGGAGATATACAGTAGTTTTTTGAGACAAAGTGAATCATACTACCATTGGCCAGCGGCCCATCGAGCAGCGAATGAACGTGGCAGTCACATGGAAAATGGTTCTGTATCACAGTCAACTTTTCCACTTCCACTAAAAGGGTCTCGGCTCTGGGTATCTCCAGGATGTGGTTGCCTTGGAACCGTAAATGTCCCACGTGTTGCTCCCACGTAAAATTCAACCACTGAATCGAGTCGATTTTGTTGTTGAGTATGTTCAGGTTCCTGACGAAGGTCATGTCGTTGAACGCGTCCCCTTCAATGTTCCCCAAATCGGACTCCTGGATGGATAAGTAATTGACGTTGGTCAGGCCGCGAAAAATGCCGCCCTTCAAGTGCCGCAAGTCCATGAAAGCCAACTGCAAATGTCCCAACGTGTCCAGCCCATTGAAGCAATCCGCCTCCAAAGTCCGAATGCCCGATGGCAACGTGATGCGATCGATTTCGGTCATTCCAGTGAAGGCGTTACTCTCGAGTTTAAGTAGGGGATTGTGGGCGAGCACCAACTGCTTCAAGTTGATCGTGCCAGCGAAGGCGTAGCTCTCCACTTTCTTGATTTTGTTGTAGCTGAGGAAAATGGCGCTGATGTTTTGCAGGCCGGCGAAGGCAAACGGCGAGACGGTTTCAAGAGGGGTGTGCTGGATGGAGAGGTCTCGCAGTCTCGGTAATCCCCTGGAAGGATAATCATTTTTAAGTATCGGCCGTTTTGAGACGAAAAAGAAGTCTGTACGAGTTGCGCCATGCCATTGTGAAACGCCACACCAAAGCGAAGCGTCGGTGAGAAACGACTCAGGACAGTTTACATTGATTCCAATTTAATTCAAAAGAAATTCCTGGGTTCCAGTCAATTTTACTGTTTATTATTTAAAATGTTACAAATACGTTTCGGGGTTTTTCGGTGGAGAAAAACACCGAAACGTATTTGTAACATTTTAAATAATCAAAATCAATTCCTGGGCTTCAGTCATTTATTGTCTATTTTCTTCAGTCATCAGTTTCTCTAAAATAGCAGATAGTAAAAACAATTTTTCATT